TCCCCCGCTAAACAATAACCCCGTCACTTCAGACAAAGGTCACATGAAACATTCATAAGAAACCTGCTGTTGTACCTGCTGTTGTGTCATGTGCAACGTCCAGCGCGCGTGTAGCGATGTGCTCGCTTCTTGGTTTTGAATATGTCGAGATGGTGAAACGGTCGCGTATGAGCTCGGCTGGTGTCCTGATGGAATTACTTTCTCGTACCCTTCCTGGTGAAAGCGCTGCCTCGTTCCCCGTCCTCTAGAACTCTACACACCCGCCGCAGAGCCGACGTCCAAAGCGAATGTGTTACGAGACGTATTACGCAACTTCTGTGAAGGACAAGTTCCATTGTACTTTCAGCTGCCTTCACAACTGTTTGTTAGGCGACCGGTAGCCACCAGGATGCTGTGTGGCCTTCAAATCCTTTCAAGAGAAAATGTAGACTGACGAATCCACGAAAATTACCTTTTTATTTGTTGCACTGCCAGTACGTATCTTGACACAATAAGGTGGGATGGTGCCATTGACATCCTTACAGGAGCGATATCTAACGTTAATATATATATATATATATATATATATATATATATATATATATATATTAACGGAGAAATCTATTAATGCAAGCACGAGTCAAGCCATTTGTTTCAAAAGGCGCCTGGACAAAGGCAGCTGGCAGCGGGCCGGTTCATTCATATTCAGTGGTGTTCAGGATCCCGACAGTCGCCGAGCAGAAGAGGACAAAAAAAAAAAGCAAAAAGTTCTGGATGTCACGAGTGCAGCACTGATCGGGCCGCCGGGCCTGAGCTCTGCTCCAAACCGCCACCGTGGCCTCCATAAGCTGCTACCAGGGAGGGCGGGGGGGGGCACGGAGAGCGGGTAGGGGGGTGAGAAGAGATGGGGGGGGGGGGGGGTGGCGTGGATATCAATGCAAACCAGGCGACGCGACAGCCTGTCAGACCACAGAGCCGAGTCTCTTCCCCCCCGACCGGTTCAACACCCGTCAGCATTTTTATTTTCATAAGCCGAAGAGCGGCGAGGTGTCAAAGTCTCTCACACACACACACACACACACACAGGAAGTTCATCTGAGTGTACACTCTTTATTGTCCTGGCAAAGCCACACACACACACACACACACACACACACACACACACACACACAGAGCTGTAAGCTGTGGAAAGCCTTCAAACGTCAGATGTTCACCGCAATCACCCACATTCACGGCGTGAAAATGATTATCTCTGAGGAGATGGCCGACATTTGTTTCCTCTATCGGCCCCCGTCTCATCTCTTCAGGAGGAGGCGAGGCCTCGGTCTCCCGCCCGCCACGCCGCCACCGGCTACTTTTCTTCATTTCCACCCCTTCCTGTCTCCGTAGCGCGGTCTGTAACTGCGGTGTGAGATGGCCCTTTGAGCCGGGGGGGCCTGTTCTCATCAGCACCGAGCAATTACAGGCGCCCCGACACACACACACACACACACACACACACTGAGAATGAACTCTGCGGTGCCAGGTGACAGCGGGGAGGATGCAGCGGCTCCATATTAAAAAGGAGCAGTGGAGGTGAATACAGATCGCTCCCCCCCCCGGGGGGGAAGGGGGGAGGGGGTGGGGGAGCGATTCCCCGCTTCCACACCGGGACACTGGGCTTTGTCCATCCGCTGACCTGTGAAAAGAACCAGCCTCCATCTCCCTCGCCTCATCATCGTGGCCACGGTGATGGAACATCACGACTACAAATATCAGTCCCATGTGGTCTGTGTGTGTGTGTGTGTGTGAGGGGGGGGAAGGATTTCTATACAACACCTCATCGTATTCTCATGTTATTTTACCACTGGAAGTCTATGAAACATTTTTTTCAATTGGTTATGCCAATTACCTCAATAAGCTCACCAAAAAAAATGACCTGTGGTTGCCGTTGTTCCACCAAACGCTGCACGTATATCGGGATTTATTTTTGGAGCAAAACTTTTACACCAGGGGAATTCTCCATTGCTTCTGGCTGCAGGGTTTACTACTAAGTAGTTCCACTTAAACCGTCTGTTCACCGTTCATAATTAATGCGTGAAAGGAGGATGGAAATTCAAATATTGGTATTCTTTATATTTACATTAAAAATCGCTGGATTCGGCACCAAATCAGATAAAATAACGAAGGTTCGCCGAGTGTCTGCACTACAAAGGTCAAAGTTCAGGTCGGTCGATCGGCCCGCTAATTATTGTCCACTCATCCGTTGGGTGTTCGCAGTGCGAATAAGACCGGTTTCACCAAATGAAAGAACAGACAGAATCCTTGCGTCTCCCGTTTGTCGCCCGGACATCACACATCGCACCAAATCATGTATTTTCCACTTGAAACAGCACATTGTTTCACACCTCTCGCCTCCTTCGAATGATTGACGTTGACACGCGCTTCCATCAGGCCTTGACGGATGCAGCTGTCCTGCTTTCGCGGTGACACGCGGGGAAGTCTGGGAGTTGAGAAAGAAAAAGAAAAACAGGACGGTGAGAGGAAGATCACCGGGAAAGAGAAACGTCCCATCTGTCGGACCGCTGCTTTTCTCAGAAAACCGCTGTGGTGCTTCTGAATCCATCACAAAAAGGCGTACGTGCTTTTTTAGGAGAATAGCTGCGTGTGCGACTTTTGGCCTTTTGTTTCATTTTAATTTTCCGATGATATCTATGAACATCTACTTCATGAATCCTACTGAAAACACCTGAATTACCTGCAGAGCCAAAGCTCTCAGGGCAAAGTTCTCTGTGTTATTAGCAGATGTAAATCTGCTAAAATGAAATACGTGAATTCAGTGCTCCAATTTCACCAACGAGAATCATTACAGTTCAAATCACCTTTTTATACAAAAAATATTCAACATTTTTTTTCTTCTTCCGCGTCATTTAAAAAGATATAAAGCAGCATCTGTCACTTTGATCACGCGTGGGTATTTTTCAACCCTGCAAGTAATTCATAGTGTGCAGAAATCTCTCCAGCGGCTGTTTCCATCTTACCCGTGTGACACTGTGACGCGCGCACGTTTGTCTTGCTTAATTCAAAACAGTAAATCCCACTCACACGGGTTGATAACACTATATTTCCCCCCCGTTTTAACGAGAGCACGAGAGACGGACGAGCGTTGGCTCGTCCTCCCCTCCCGTCGATTCGTCTCTCCACTTAAGGCTTCCTACGACGGCCGTCATCAATTTATGAAAATGTTTGGCTCCTGGGACTCTTCTCTGCCCCTCTCTTCGCTGGTCTCGCCCACTCGGTCCTCGAAATGTATATCCAGAATAACACCGCAGCAGCACAAGAGCTCCTCCACGCTGCCTCTTCACGTCCTCGGGCTCCATAAATTCCTCTCGCTCAGTGTGTGTGTGTGTGTGTGTGTGTGTGCGTGCTTCGTTCAGAGGGCTTTGTCTTTATTCCTTTTGACCTGCCTGTTGTGTTTGTAAATTCCCCTGCAGAAGCAACGAAATGACAAGCAGCTCGTTCTGAAGAGGAAAGAAGAGCCGTGTTTCATCCTGGTGCGTCCAGGATCCGACAAACACATTTAAACAGCAAAGTGACCAGTTCAAAAAAGGGAAGGCCGCACACTTCATATTAAAAGGTTTGACCCCCGCCGGTGTCATCGTGATCGGTTTTCATTTCAGAGAGAGAGAGTATTTGATGGAAACGTCATGTGAGGACAGAGAAGCAGCTCGTGGCATCTGGAGGTGCGAAGGGGGGTAAAAAAAAAAAATAGATTTAAAAAAAATGGCATCAGAACGCACCGCTGGTCGGGCCGACGGGAACGAGTCCCTCCTGCCGAAGTCGCCGCCTCGTCTGGATGAGAGGACGCCGATGGGGTGCCGCCCCCGACAGACATGGTGACAATCCGGCCTCAGTGTGTGTAAACAACCACGCCACTACACCCCCCCCCCCGCTCGACGACGGGGTTAACACCTCTGTCCATCAGCCGCCCCCCCCCAACAACCACCGCTCACAGGGCCCCCTCGCCGTCCCCGTCCGCTTGTCAACGAACTGACAGGAAATTCGCCCCTTTTGTTGCTGGTGAGCGCCAACATGGCTGGCAGACAGGAGATTTGAGGGGGGGCGACGGCAGGGGAGCGGGGGGGGGGGGTAACAGGCTGCCAGTTATAATAGTTCCCTTCACAGCCTCATCCCCCCCCCCCCCGAAAAAAAGCTCCAAAATGAAAAAAAATGAATGGACAAGGTGGAGCAGCAGTCCTCTGAGTCAACGCCTCCCGTCATGCAGGAGGCCGAGTGGAGCCTTTTGGGAGGATGCAGTCGTTTGGATTGATGACAAGAGATGCGACCAAATGTTTGACATTTTTTGAGGCCGGATCTCACAGTTTCTGTCATCTTCAGACACAATTTGACAAAAAGCCAGAGACGAAAATGCAGTGGCTGCCCCGCGTAGCCCTGGGATCCAGTAACCACCGTAACGTTACATCCCTACGCTGAGAACTACAGGCGGTGGAAGAAGAAGTGACGGCGGACCTCTGAAATCTGCCGGCAGCCGCTGCAGCCAACGCTGCTCCATAAGTGGCCTGAATCATGTTTTAAGCTTTTTTTAAAGAGCTGCTCATTTACAAAAAAAAAAAAAAGGGCCAGGTTACAACCCACCGCTGGTTTTAAGACGCACCGACCACAAGATGTCACGCTCCAGGCCTCCGTTCTCAGCCGGACCAGACATATCCGAGGCGATACCGGCACAAGTTCAGCCCCTGTAATGTACCTCCAAAATCCTCTCGCCACCCCTCGCACAGCCTGTCGGGGCAACAGGAAGTGGGGAAATGTAATAACCTGCAGGCCCGGGTGCCTCCACAGAGGCCCGCCCATCACGGGCGCCATCATCACGGGCGCCACCCGCGACGGTGCAAAGAGGAAGAGATTACAGCAGCACAGCATTTCCACCATCTCTCAACGCATCTGCAAACGTGCAGCTTGGGCCCGCGGTGGAGCGAGTGCACAGCGCCCCCTGGTGGTCAAACACTGAGACGACACTGGGGTGTTTTTTTTTTTCCTTCTGTTTTAATCGGATATTAAAACACATTACAAAGTCAGTATGTAAATAGCCTCATCTGTTAAATTAAATTATGGGAAGTGCCCGAGTCTCGAATAGGTTTTTGTTGGTGTGAGGATAAATGAATCCCTGTTTGCGCCTTAAAAAGAGAAGCTCACATCTTCAGTTCGGAAACTAATAAATACACTACTTTACAAGTGAAAAATACAGGCATACTAAGTGTGTGTGTATATATATATATATATATTTATATATATATATATTTTTTATGATGACTCAAACAATCAGACCAGTAGCTCACACAACTGAGAAAAAGCCCAAAATGAAAATAATCCACACATGGAGCGTGTGAATGAAATCGGGGAGAACAAAACCACAGAGAGAATAAGTGCATATATAGCGATGCAATTCCAGTGAGAGGAGTTCAGTCTGTCATTTAACCTATAAAAAAAAAAAAAAAACCTGCCACACAGTGCGGCCAAATTCTCCAGAGCTGCGGAGAAATCGGGCCTCGTTTGGAACAAACGCCCTAAAAGGACGTCGCACGGTGCAAAAAAAAAAAAAAAACAGCTTGAATGTGACGTTCTGACACAACAGTGCAATTCGTCCTGGAGTGACAGCAAACACTGTTACTGGTAAAGAGTCCGATCAACAGGAAAACCGGCAATCCATGAAGCTCTCTATGTGGACTTCACAGCTGCCTGCTCTCGTCTTCAGGCTGTTCACGGAGGCTTGAAGGATGATTCCAATTAACTAACACTGGGATGTTTGTGGTGGGTTTGGTCATAGTATCCGTTGGGTTTGGTGGACTCTTAAATGAAGTTACACTTACATCAGACAGGTTGTAAACATGGAAACAGTTCAGGCTGAGTAACTTCTACGTATAGTTACGGGGCTTTCTTTTCCCAAGTTGACAACATGTGAGACACGAGAAAACTCCGCCGCTCTTTAAGCTCTCAATGATTGTGTTTTGCGTGTTTATTTTATGTTGGGCAGTTGGCAGAGAGGGATAAGTAGTACGAGGCTGAAGAGTCGGATTCTCGTCCAGCTCACTTCGGTTTTGAAATGTTGACACATTCCCCCCCAAATCGCACTCGGTGACAGAAACCCAAAACATACTTCATTTCATAATTCATATCCGACCGATACATACGGTGTGTTCTTCGCTGTGGTGCCTCTTTGTTTAGATAAAAACAACTACGAGTTGTGAGGAGCACGTACACACAAACCAAAGGGAAAAAAGAAACAATGGCTACCTCTAGAGCTTGGTCTTAGGCCAAGGCAAACTGTGGACGTTGGAGACTCTGCATATTTACAGATTCACAAGTCTGTGACGGCTCAGCACGAGTCCGCCGCCGCTCTTCTGGATAAAATCGGAGGCGCGTCTCATTGCACCTTGTTTTCTTCCTGAGTGTTTTCGTCGATCACCACTATCTGCACACTAGACAGCTGTCCGCTAGCGTCCAGCTGCAGCCCCTCAACCCCCCCAGTCTGCACCTCCTGCATTTGGCACTGCGTCTCCTCCCCCTCCGCGGCCATCGTCACCTCCATCGCGCTCTGTGCCCCGTCCTCGCCCGCCCCCCCCGTCAGCTGCAGCTCCATCACTCCCACCGCCTGCTCCATCGGCGCCGGGTTGATCTCGATGACCGTGTGCTCGTGGCCGGCCTCCACCTCGCTGTGCACCACCACCTCCTGCTGCTGCTGCTGCTGCACCAGCATGCCGCCGTCCACCACCTGGCCTTCCAAGGGCACCATCTCCGCCCCGCCGGCCTGCTGGCTCAGCTGCAGCAGCTCCAGGGGGCTCACCACCGTGCCCAACTGGCCCGAGTCCTGCATGTTGGCGGTGCCCACCAGCGTGAGGCCCGAGGACGGGTGCAGGGTGATGGTGTCCCCCTTGCCGTCTCCGGTGAGCATGTAGCGGGTGAAGAGCTGCGAGCCGGCGGGGAGCAGGGTGACGGTGTTGGACGACTGCCCCAGGGAGGCCATGGGCAGGCCCGCCATGGTGAAGGGCTGACCCACCGAGGACAGCGAGATGGGGGAGAGAACGGTGAACTGCTGCGGCTGCATGGACGCCTGCTGGCCGATGGGCGACGTCAGCAGGGTGGCGGTGGAGGCGGGCCTCTGGAGACGAGGCCGCTTGGTCGGGCGCTTGGCGGGGGTTTTGCTTTTGGCCGGCTGCGGGCAGGAGAGGAGAGCTCGCACCTGCTGCTGCTTCCTCTGGTCTTCCAACTGCACCTCCAGGTCTGCACACAGCACGTCGCAACAAAAAAGAAAGTTACGTTTTGAGAGCAGGCCGGGGGGGGAGGGGGGGGTCTTTGGAAATGTCTGTACTCACTGGCGAGCGTGCTGAGGACTTGCTCCTGGCCGGGGTCCGTCTGCTCCCGGCGGCTCTCCAGCGTCTTCTTGACGGAGTCGAGCAGGCCGAACACTTGGGCGAGGTTACTGAGCACCGCCACCTCTACCAGACAGGAATCTGGGATCAGTGCGGCAATCAATCAAAAGGGTCACTCGGTCAGTCAGAGAGGGGGGGGGAATCGTTAAGCACTCAGTCAGGATTTGTCAGAACCACAAACCCAATCCATCTGCGTGCAACTGCAGCTGAATCGGCTCCTTCTCTCCCCTTCGTGCTCCTGCATGCAGCCCGTTGGGAGGACGCCGTCCCAGCGGCCCGTACGCATCGGCGTCGTCTCCTACCTGTGTCCTGCAGGGCAGCGGTTTCTTTGCGCTGCTGCACGCCGTTCAGCAGCTCCACCAGTTCGGCGCTGATGTTGGTCACCACTTCCCCAAGCAGACCCACGTCGGGGATGCCTTTCCAGAAGTTCAGCGTGTCTTTTGCGGAGCAACAGACAACACACGCGAGCCTGAGTTCACGGGCGGGCTCCGTGTTTCGCCTTCAGACTGTATTCCCCGTGGGATGAATCGGGTGTGGGCGGGGGGGGGGGGTGCTCTTTGTGACCTGAGATCTCATTGGATTCCTTCTTCTCAGCGGCCTCCAGCGAGCTTGAGATCCAGTCCATCTTCCCTCTCAGAACCTCCGCTCTGTCGTCGCTCACTGTCCCGCCATTACCCAGGACAACCTGGGCTGAAATGTACACAAGAACGCACAAATTAGCACCGTACCCCAGAATTAGCTTGTGCTTGCCGTACATTAGAATAGCAGAAATATAAAGTGTAGCATTTGATTTCAAAATCACAAGATGCATCATTTTAGAACGTCACTGCAGTCTAAACGCGCTTAAAAAATACATGTGTTTTTTTTTTTTTTTTGCTTTCAATGCACGTTTTATTAAAATGTACAACATGACAAATCAAATCGCACGAAACCCATGAAGCGGCGGCCTCGGCGCGTTCTCACCTTGAGAGGACGTGGGCGTGGTGAGTCCAGAGCCGTCGGGAGGAAAGCGCGTGTTGTTGATCAAGAGGTCAAACTTGGTGCTGCGACACGTGTTGGTGCACAGCGTGCTGTGCTGGTAGAAGTCCAGCTGACCCGAATCCATCATCTTTCTGGGGAGCAGAAATCACAAAGGGGTTTTACGACAGTTAGTAGAAGGGAGGAGGAGGGAGGAGGCACTTACAGTACAAAGACAAGCAGTGCGGTGTGTGACTACATATTTTTGTACAGCCGGGTGGATAACATATAATAACAAAGCGCAGCTGGAAAACAAAAGGTGACAACAAGCTGGAAAGAGGCTCATATGGAGTCGATGGTGACTTATGAGAGTCTTTTTCTAATGATTTTACACCAGAGAACAAGCAGCTCATGACCGCTGGAGTACCTGTATACTAAATAACTCAAATTACACCCATAAAATATTCTGGTTCATGCAATCCCTAAACAGTTTTTATACATTTTTCTTATCATTCATAGTCAGAGAGAAAGAAGGTTGTCATTTGATTTACAACGTTGACGGACAGATGTCTGAAGTCGCACAGAATGAAGTCATCACTTTGGATGTATTCAAGATGTTTGACATTTCTACAGCATCAGCAAATTCAACCAAGCAACCAGAACTCTGAATAGTGAGTTATGGCTTCTGGGGGTCCCAATGAACGCCCCCTCACCTTAGCATGACCCCACCCATCCTGATGGCTCTCTTCCAGTCTTTCAGAGTGGCTTTTCCAGAAATGTGCACAAACTGCTTCGGGCTGATCAGCTGGTCTTCATACTGGTATTCCGAAAAAAAACAACAGAAAAAAAACACATGGAGTGCAATGTAGAAAACATCAGAGACAATAAACACAAAAAGACACATTCATTAACAATAGCCATTATACAAGAAGAAGTAAATGATGAGTGATGATAAAATCTGTGTGTGGATCGCACACACTAACGCTGTAAACATGTGTTATACGCAGCCATGTGGACGTTTGGGTCACAGGCACAACGCTCATTTCCACTTTGTGACCACAGGAAATGACACATGACAGATTCAAAACTTTCTTCCCATGTTTCCTTGTTTGGAACATTTGAGTTCCACCTCTTTCCGTCATGAATACCGAATATCTTTAACGTGCTCAACCTTTGCTGTCACTATAAGATCAGATCAAAATGACACAAACAACTGCTTTTAGTGTTGAAATGTTCAAACGGTTCAGCCTTTTTGGATTCATCTCCTGCTTCAGCTCCTAAACTGTAATGAAATGTTTTCGTGATCGCAATGCTGACGGAAGGATTACTCTCCTACTTTTTCAGGACTACTTCCTGTGCTTCGGTGCATTTTGTCAGGCTTCTTCTCTTCATTTCGAATAAATAAAATGATGGCATATTTAATGCCCCTCAATCAGCCGTTGTATATTTAAGGTTGGCACAATGCTATGTGATGCTTACAGGTCGAAAGAGAGAAGAAATCGGAAGCGCAGTTGCCATTTCGCATGATCGCAGGCTCACAAGAAATAAACGAACGGCCCACCTTCACGCATTTCACGTTGATTCCCGGGCACACGAATTTCTTCACGAGCAACAGAGCCTTGCAGTCGCCGCATGTTATGGGACAGCCGATCTCCACGTTCTCTCTGTCGGCTTGTTCTAAAAGAAGGAAGGAAAAAAAAAAAAAACACACACGTGGCGGTTCAAAACCCGAGGACGAGGCGGTGGAGAAGCACCACTCAATCTTTATAGATGTCACAAATATTGCTCTGACAATCTTTTACCCGCGTTCGCTTCAACGGTTATGACGGCTGCGTCGGTTTCAGCCGATTCCTCCCTGGGAAGAACACAGTTTGCATTTCTCACGTTTGTTCTCGGTAATATGGAAGCATACTGTCCTGTGTGTCTTTCACAAACATCTACTCAGGTTTACTCGTGCAAACACCCATTTACCCAGGATGCAACAGTAACTTTGGGTTCAGTAACGTTCATTTTGGTCACGGGAATCCCGTCAGCCCCGCGGGGGGCATCTGGCGCTCTCATTGGCCGCAGCTCCCCGACGTACTGCCCGGGCAGGTCCAGATGTTTAGCATGGCTGACATCTGGAATGAGTCTGCGACGGATTTACCGGGGGGCCTTGTTGCGGTCGGGGGGGGGCGAGGGGGGTCACAGCTGGCTTTGGGTACGTACCCGGTGGCGATCGGCTGGAGCTGGAGGATGACCTGAGTCTTATTCGGGTCGTCGGGGTCTCCTTCGCCCTCGGCCTTCACCATCTCCACCTCCGACATGGACACGGTGACCTCTTCGCAGGTCGCCATCGCACTCAGGGTAGATTACAGGGGGGGGCTGCTTTCTTACAACAGCGATCCAGGAGTTTGGTCATCTGAAAAAAAATGTAATAAATGGATAAACGTATTTAAAATAGAAACAAAGTTGGAGCACAACAAACTGGATTTCAGCACCAAGAATGTTGGTTAGATCGCATTAGCATTAAGATAACAAAGTTAAATAAACTTTTACATGTGCAAAGTCAAAATAAAACGTTTTTCTGTCTTCGCTGAGGATGAAAAACAACAATAAAACAATTTTTATTGAGAAAGATGTCACTTTAATGTTGATGTTTTTCAGCCTGCAAGATAACAATAGCAACCCGCTTTGCAACAGTCGAAGCGTCCAAAAATGAAGAATTAATTAGTATTAATAATTATAACCCATCATTTATTTACGTTGAGCTACTGGTTTCAACATAAACTAAGCCGAGCAATAACAACTTTAGCATTAAGTCATTCTTACTTTTTCTTTTGCAGAGGATCTAAATTACCCAGAAGACCTGCTGTGTCTGCTAACGTTTAGTTATTTGTGCAAATAGACGCTGCAGTAACACTTTTTATTATTATTATTATTATTATTATTATCGCTGTCACATTTCTCCAGCTGAACGTAACGGTCACCCAACTAAAGGAGAAACGCCGTTTTGCGTCATTTTCAAGCCGATGCTACCGGACTGGCTTAGCGGGCCATTCCCAGTTACACTCGGGCCAGTTTCACCAGTTCAGTAGCGGATAAAATAACCCCCCCACACCAAAGTTAGGTGTCTTATCACCCCCCTCCCGCGGGCAGAGGACCGCTTCTTTTCCGTTGAGCTCCAAACCGCTGACGTTTAGCCATTACGGCTAACGGCAGGGCGTCACGTTAAAACACGTAGCGGGGGAGAAGCGGGGGGGGGAGAGAGAGAAACGCGGGACGCTTATTGTGAAGCGTTTTGCAGTGTGACGGTTACGTGCCGCTTGTCTCGGAGCCGTGCGTCGCGTCGTAACTCCGCATTTTAACTCTCCGCTCCCTCCTCAAAATGACGTCGTCTCTCTCTGTGCGGCGGCACGTACGGCGAAACAACGGCACGACGGCGGCGACGGCGGCGTTGCTCCTCCATTCGGCGCGAGCCCGCCTGGCTGAAACCCCACCCCGCGAATCCGCGGTGCGACCCGAAGCCGACCGGCTAAAAGCGCCGCCGGAGAGCAGAACTACAGCCCGGCATATTTACACGCGCAACGGAATAAAATAGCTCGTCCTTACCGTTTGTTTTTTTTTTAATGGAGAGAAACGCAGCCCTAGATTGGGGAGAGCCGGGTGCGCATGCGCAGTGCGCGGCTGTAGCTTGACTTCCTGCAGGACAAGCGCTTCGCCTTGTTTTTCACGCTCGCGTAAACTCGGGACAGAATTCAACTACAAATTCATTTATTTGACCAAAGAGTCTTTGTTTGTGTGTGTGAGAGCGCACAGGGTGACTCGTGGCCGGTTAGGCGCACTATTCATAGGCGTGTTGTTTATCGGGGTCACGTAGGTTCTGCCTGGTCTGTTCGTCTCCGTAGTAGTGCTGTGGGGAAGCGTACTAATAGTGCGTATTTTACAAACTCGAGTAGGTTCGATGTTTGGCTTCAACGACCCTAAATGTGAATCCAGGCGATGTGAAGTGGCAAGTTTCGGTCTAAATACACAACATCCCTCAAACGGTGGGCTTCCCGCATAGTCATTGATGGAATCACTGAGCTTCAACAATGGCGGCGTATCGCATTAAACGAATCTGTACGACCAATTCTAGATTGTCTTATTTTTATTTTAGGACAGTATGAGGCGGGGCGCCAGGACAAGTGATCACTAGCAGCCCCTGTGTTAAAAATTATGCTTCCGAAATCTCTTGATGGCGATTCCGCAAAAGGAGGGGTCATCCCCACTCCTCCTGTACCAAACATGGCAGAAGCCCTTTTTAACGAGTTACCTGAACACCGCAGCGTGTAGCCGGTGGCAACATGTACCTCACTCAGAGGTGAGGCAATTGTGCGGGTTCGTCCACGCGCAAGTGCGTTATGTTGGATTGTTTAGCACCAAATCACAACAACTATTATTACTATGCATTATGTATAGCCAATAATCAATCATTGTACAATTTATAACTCGTTTCTATCAAGGTTTTCTGCCGAAAAGCATGATGGGTAATATAATTGTGGGGCAACATAAAGGGCTCTCATTGGTTGCTGTGTGCACTGCCGGCTTGTGTTGCGTTCAAGAATCTCGGGAAATGAATGGTGGCCGAGATAAACAATAGCCACATAGCCAATAATCTTGGATTGTTATTTGTTTCAAATAAACACGAAGCATTCAGCAAATAGTTGTATCTTACATCAAAATCACCAGAAATAGCACCAGTTCATTTGTCATCAGATTTTCTGAGATACATCTTTGAGGGGGGGCATTTCTTTATTACATTTAAATTGTTTACCTTTTTGTTGATAATAATGCAGATATAATGTGTGATATACTTGAAAACAACATCTATTTTAGCTAATTACTGTATATGTGTGATATAACCTCCACTGTCATCAGAAATATAAAACACAATTCCCTTCGGGTGACGTTTTTAAAAACGTTTTGTTTATGTTGTTTTTTCCCCCATCAAACCACATTCTTGTAATATATTAGAGACTAAATCTTGTTTTTAGATAAAAGATGGCATGTGCAAATCTGTATCCCCAATAATATATCAGAATAAACCATAATCCTTTATGGTCAGAAAAGGGTAACAAACCATTTAGTTGAACAACAAACAAACTTTGAGTCAGAGCAGTATTCATTGTACATCTATTTATTTTTTTAACCAATCAAGGAAATCACATAAAATATAAAATAAATAACATTTATTCAGTATAGCTGTGACATGTGACCATAGGGATAAAGAGCCGAACAGTTTTGGGCTTCGTACCATCCCACAAGCCGAACATGGGCAGATGCTTTCTGGTACAGAAGCCCCAACAGGTTGGTTTGATCATTCCTGTGAACAACATAAAAAACACATCATGAAAGACATAGGAAATTTGCTTACTTCTTTTCTTTTTCAGAGATGAGGAGATTCAAGTAAATGTCATGTTCAAATTTTTGGTTTTGCGGGGATCGCCAAGCTGGAACTATTTCCTGATCCATCCGCACATTACTGGGATGCTACTTCTGTAGCATCGTGTGCATTGCTGTTGGCATACAAAGGTTTTAGCATCGGTGTCTTTCCAGGCAAGATGGCACCAAATCTGGAAATGATAATGGTATTAATCTTCTCCTCTGATTCCCAGAAAGAAACACAGATAAACGTATTACACAAAATGTTAAATGACTCCTTTAAGAATCCAATTGGAAGGAAACTGGATGTGGACTGAAGGTATCCCCCATCAATATCGTGGTCAGTACACAGGTCACGGTTTGTTATAAAGATTTTTACTATTCTCTTTTTTAAATGTCTTATTGCTGGATATAAGGGTGTTAAGCTGATGAGAAATAAGCATATTTCTTTCATAACAGCAATCTTTCCAAAAGCCATATTTTCTTGGTGTCTTTCCAAGGTTGCCATGAATGTAACTTCTCTTTGCTTTGAGGCGGCCATCTTTGACGGTGCAGAACAATTACAACCCAACTCTGTGCAGAAGAGGGACACAGGAAGGCTGTAGCCTTAAACACAGTCAGGCTGGTTGTCAAATAGGGATTTGTGACATTGCAAAGACATTTAGTTTGATTTCTAGGCGTGGTGCCCACCTGATGATGTCATCAGCTCCGCCATCTATAACAGATAGCGGTTCATTAGGAAGTATACTGTTAGAATCTGTAAAGAGACAAAAAAATAAATAAAGGGATGGTGCAAATGTTTTTAGAACTACTTGGTCACCTATTCAGTTTGTATCCACTGACCATCACCAGCCTGCTGAACTGTAGTGGATGTGAGGACTGTAACCATCCCCGTTAAAAGAAATGCTAACTAGCTTTGCATTGTATGTAACCGTGTGGATGTGACATATCAGAGCTGTACGTTTTGTACTTGGAGGGGTAAATCTTCCCCATAAAACTTCAACCAGAATTTCCCACCGACACCTCTGGAACACAGCATAAAGCACGGGCCCACAAAAGCAGCACATGTATAAACATTGAATGGATTGAATGGCTCATGGCTGACTGGAAAATTATTATTTTTGTGAATTAAGCTTTGAACAAAATAATCAACGGGTTGCACTAAGCCCCACACAGCTGCAGGCGAAGCACAAAACTTCCTTTTGTTCCTAGACAAACACATCCTTCCTACGGTGGATGAAGTCATTGAAGGTGTGATGACTGGGAGGTAACAGACCTGATGCCTTGATGTTACGATACAAACGCCTAAAGGCCACCTACTCTAATTAAAATGGCCCGTCTTTATGTATACATCAAAATCTTCCTTTTTTTTTATTATACAGAAGCATTACTCATCTATTCACAGAACGGTTGAAGTCAGTTTGGCGTAAGTGCACATACAGCCTTCATTACCAGGCGGAGCACACTGATTTGACATGTTTAAACTCGTTGAAGAGGGTACTGTCTCCGCTCACCCTGTCCATTAAATAGCTTCCTGTGACGTTATAGCTTTTATCTATTTCACGACTATTTACAATACTATAATCGAAAATGATTGCAGGCAAAGCATCGCACAAACTTTGACAGGTACAAACCCACAACGGTGCTCTGTGAAATCTATCTGTCTTCTGGATACTCAGTCGTCCACTGACTGCGGGGACATGGAAAGCAGTGTTGGCGACCCTCTACGAACCATGACCTGATGCCCTCTGCACACTTGTGTCATTCGATCCTAAGAAGGCCCAGAACAGCTCAGCTCGTTCTACACCACGTGGCTTCAGAGAGAACAAAAATTTGCCTGTTAACATACACGTCAGGATCTACAATGGCCCCCCGGTTGGACCCAAGTCGTGAGAAGAACCCACACGCGGAGGGGCCACAACGCACGTGGTGAGGAAGTGACGTATGGTGATATATTGCAGGGTGCTGAGCCAGAGTGACTTGGTTTTTTTCGATGGACAACAGTGAGACGAGGTGGACTCTTGGTGTGACGGCGCAGTGTGTGGACAGTTCAAAGTCAGCAGTGGCAGCCCCGCTCGGGGGTCGCGGCAACGAGCTCCTCTTCGTCGTCGGCCGAGTAGAGGACCTTGCCGGTGAGGCCGCTCTTGACCCCGTCCCAGCCGTCGCGGGTGACGATCTCCCCCATCTTCATCAGCTCGTAGATGTCTTTCGTCAGCAGCTCGAAGGCCCGGTCCACGTTGCTGTTGCACTTGGCCGACGTCTCCACGTAGCGGATGCCCAGCTCGGCCGCCAAATGCTCCGCCTCGTCCCGGCTCACCATGCGGTCCTTGTTGAGGTCGCTCTTGTGGCCGATGAGGATGTAGACCATGTGGTGGGGCAGGATGTGCTCACTGACCTCCTTGTGCCACTCCCTCACGTGGTCAAAGGTCTTGCGGTTGGTGAGGTCAAAGACTAGGAGCCCGCCCACTGAGTTGCGGTAGTAGGATGTTGTGATGGACCTGGTGAGTACATAGATTCAAGTCAAGCAAAATGATCTTGATTAATCCCTTTTGAACATCTATAACAGCTCGGATCAACACACAACTGTGACCTGCCAAGGGAGACCACACCAACTGTCTATTGTCAATCTTTCGCAATGAAATATCAGGTTTGCCGTGTGCATGTTTGGATTTTCTTATGGAAATATATTTAGGAAGTTGCATTGTGCATGCACATTTTTGATTAAAAAGGCTAATGAAGATATCAAAATTAGATTTGGACGCAGGGCACCTAAATAGGGCCTCAACCTTTGACAATTACGCTGTTGGGGACAAATGGGGATATTGAATTGGGCTGAATATAAATCAAATCAGACCAGACGATAAACATGGCTCATTGGCCCCCCCTAAAGGTCTCTGGCCCATGTCCGTTGGCCCCATTGCTCCAGCCTAACCAAGATCAACATAAATCCTAATCTGTGCACTTGGCAGTTCAAAAATTGCTGATTGATCTCACAAACGCTTCTCATAGTCAGTTAAAAGAAAAGTGAAAGTGTGGTGAAGCCTGAAGATAAAAAAACACCCTCCAAAGATTGGCCATCAAAAGGGAAAGCAGATCTGAGAGAGCGGAGCTGCTTCTAAACACAGGTGCCCGGAGGAAATTATCCATGACAGCATGAACACATGAAACACAAGAAGCAACAGGGTGAATTTGAGCACAGAGCTGAAATCCTTCTGTGGGAGACCGAAGGAGTCTGAACCTTGTGGAATCAAACGGGGGCCTGTGAGGAGGCTGCCAATCATCCGTGAATAAATGCAGTGATGCAGCTCCGTTTTATATCATATAGGGCAGAGCATCATGGGATCGAGGCCTGTATAATCTCCTCCTGAAGCTTTTCTCCACTGTCTACACTTCCTTACATCATATAACCAGCTAAGGAAGCAGATTCGTTTTATTTATAGGGTTTAATTTCACGATTGCAGCCAAATCACGCGACAGCAAACCTTGAGGCCTCTTCATTATTTACCCGACAAATCCGTGAAGGTTCGTCATTACATTCGATCGACATGCATTTTGCCTACTTTGTTGAAAAAAAAACCATATACATGTATATCTTACGTACCTGAATCGTTCCTGACCGGCAGTGTCCCAGAGCTGCAGCTTTATTTTCACCCCGGGCTCGATATCAAGCGAGCGGGCGTAGAAATCCACCCCGACCGTCGGATCCGCCACATCGCTGTAGATCCCGTCCGAGAAGCGCTTCAGCAACGACGACTTGCCCACCGTGGAATCCCCGAGCAAGATGATGCGGAACTGGTATTGCCACAAAATATCCATGGCATGACTAGAAGAGGGGATACCAGCGAAGTGCGTGCGTGCGTGCGTGTGTGTGTGTGTGTGTGAGAGACAAAGCACTGCTTGCAGCGTGTTTACATGAAGCTCCTGCTGCTGCTGCCTTGCCTTCTGCTCGTGGAAGAAAGACGCGGAGCGCCGAGCGACCGCAGCGATCATGTGATGGATTCACCGATGCTCGACTTGAATGCAAACGATCAACATTTCCCCACCCGTGAATGAATTAGTCGTGTGTGGCTTGCGAGACGTACAGATAAGCCGAAGTGGAATTTTAAGCGGTAACAAAGAAAATAGTATTCTGGATTTGCGTGCAGTATAAACCATAATTTAGCCACACGTGAGATGAATTATGTTGAGTGTAAATATTATTGCTGAATGGCACAGGTGTTGTCTCGAAACAAGAACCAGAACCAGATCAAGAGGGCAGGATGCTGCAGGTTCTGTAGGTATAAGAGATTAGGCGATGTCCGGTCTGTGTGGTATATTTCTCGCTGCATACCAAATAAATATAAACAATCACATACACGTGCATAGTTTTCTGTGTTGTTAAAAATGTTAAACTATCTTTTTTCCGTGGTTTTAATGTTTCCACCTCACAATAAGATCGGCATTCCCTGAAGCGCATATTAAGAAACACATATCCCATCATGCAATGCAAGAAGCCCACGTGAGCGAGGCGGACCAATCAGCGGGCATCTGCTCGGTCCTGGTGTGTATATAAACGCACGAGACGCTCCTCTCAGTCTCTTCCTCTTCAAGTCTTTCAGGAGAAGGACCCGCGACTACCGGACACCATGGTGAGCCTTTCGTTATTTATCTGAATCTAGATCGACAGTTTAGGCTCAGTTTACGCGTGTCTGCTTGACATTTGCGGATATTGTATTGACGTTGAGGCCAGTTGTTGGCTGAGCTGTGCTAAAACGCGCTACACTTAGTAAGCTAACGGGCGTTAGCTTTTGTAGCTAAGGCATGCCGGCATGTTTAACGTTAACACGTATGGGCCACTACGACGGCACGCGAATGCATTCATACCTTTCAACACATTGACTTGAATGTTAGGCGAATATACACGATTGCTAGGGAACTTTGTGTTCCGGCTAACAATTTGTTTGGTCAACGTTAGCTTGACACTAATGTGTTGACCACGTGGCAAGCTCAAACTATGCTAAAGATGTACTTAAATTACATCACGCATAGCTTTTCTTTAACAAACATTTCTCCACAGGGTAAATCTGAAGCCGGATCGCCCACCCGGGACGCCCGACTACGTCTCGTTGCCCTCCCAGCAGGTGTGTTTGTGGAGCAGTTTTCATTTCTTACCGTCTCAGTGAACCGGCTCCTATCGAAGCCGTCCATGCTCTCCAGTAGCACTGAATGGTCAACAGGAAGCCCAGAGGAAAACTTCCACCGACGGTCGCTGTTCAGTTTAAAAAGATAACTGTTATAGCAACATTAAGGGGAAGGACATTTGGATGAAATCACGTGAACGACCCATCGGGCCGATGGTAAAGTTGTGTTTAACTAACTGGTACTCTTCTAGCAGGAATTGGGGACTGTGGAGGGTGAAGAGGCAGAACGTGAACGTTGCATCGCATGCAGGTACTTTCTGAGCCACATCTTGTGCATTAATGATCTGGCTGTGATTACAAACTTGCCCTCACTGAAAATTCTTGATTGAGACATTTTTAAACTGAGCCACACTTTATCGACATGTATATTTACACAAAGTGGTTGTAAAAACTAATTTAAGTCGTTGTTTTTAGGTGACCCTGATGACTGACTCATAGGTGACAGGAGGAGAACTTTGAATGAAAAGGTAACTAATTCTCGGTGTCTTGCTCACATTACAGCGTGCTCTCATAAGGACCGGGGCTTGTTTGTAGCTCTTATGTTCTCAAAGTGCATGCAAGAGAATTGGGTGGTCTTTGACTGCTGTGGCCTCCTCTGCCACCAGCAGCCACTCTACTGTCCTACAGATGAATGTCACTTTAGATTTGTAGATTTACACTCATAGGAGAGTTGTTAATGTTTTTTTTTTCCCCATCTGTTAATAGGCATAAAGTTGAGCCCTTTGGTTACATTGGCCCAAAGGCTGCATCACCAGTCTGGTGTGAAGGTATGTACAGTTAAATCCTAGTATCTTTCTTTTTGTGATCTATGATGATTCAATACTAAAATTGTGACTGCTGGATGAAGCTTGCGGATATGGGACTGAGATCAGCATTTCAATGAGTTAAGAAAAGCAAATCATTGCCTTATACTGAGTAGCTTTTTTTTCCTTCCAGCTTCGTGCCCAGTTAAAGGTGGTCGACATCCACCTGTGCAAGAGGATCACGAGGAAGCTGCACCAAGTTATTGAACTTCATGGTTCAAGTTGTGTGTGTGTGTGTGAAATAAAACTATTTTGATCAAATTGAGTCTTTGCTTCATATTCTTACAGGACATAAAGTCCTCCCTATCATGTTTTCAAGTGATGTAAGTAGGGCTGTCAAAATTGCTTGACTATTCGCTTTACATTTTAAACTAGATTTAACACATTACCTGCGCAAAAATAAATTTGTAAATAAAATTGCTGCGACTGCAGAGCTCACTCGCTGCGGTTTAAATGAATGCTGAAGCGGTTTGTGCACGCAATTCAATGTGGTGATTCTGGTCCCCATACGGCAGGCTTCATTCAGTGATTGAAAGATTTTACAGTAGACATTACGCGTGCTGTAAACACAAACTTTGATTATGTAATTTTATGCCAAGGAAAAGTGCATGACTGTTGCAGCCGATCTTGTCTGTTTTATTCATGCAATAGTGAGGCGTGCCGCAGTTTTATACATTTGAATATAGAATATTAGTTTACAGCCCTAATGTAGTAAATTCTCTTCACACTGTTGGTGTCTAATATCAATCTGACTTCAACCCCCCCAGCATATGGATATTATCAGTTTTGACCATTTGCATCATTAGACCGTTCGGATTACCTCATGTGGACATAGTTGAGTGACTCGACTGCACATTTGAATTTTCATTCATGTTTATAGGCACAAACCTTTTAAATTGGGCAGTAATTTCTGCCCAATGGCATAAATGAGTACAAGTTCATTTCTGGCCATAACTTGTTCACTGCTCGAATACTAGTCTGGATAAAAACCGTGAGTATTTACAATGTTAGATATCATGTGGTAATGTTTAAGGATGTGAAAAAGCTCTTGTATCTACTGGTCAAGTTCAAATTGTATTTGAAAAAGACAAGGCAAAAAACAACACATTAACTCATTCATTTGAGGTAGGAGGAAATTTCAACTCTGATATCTCGAAGTCTGGTGTGCTGCTGCCGCTCCGGTCGCTGTATGTGTCCCTGTGTCAGAGACAGAACGTATCGTCATTAATCTGGTCTGATCGGACGAGCGGCTGGATTGTAATCTGACGCGCCGTGTTTACCGCGGAGACAGACTGCAGCCCTTCTGCAGGTAGCTCGGCAGCTTCCCGGCCGCAGCCAGCAGCAGACCGAGATACGGGGGGGACGGCTTAATGGGGCGGGAGGTGAACTCGGGGTGATACTGCACTCCAACGAAGTACGGATGATCTGGGGGAAAAAAAAAAGAGCAATTTGACTTATTCTTTGTATAGTACATAAAAGGTTGGGATGTAATTGTTGACCTATGAAGACCCCCCTCCCCTCTCCGTACCATCCAGCTCTATGACCTCCATCCTTTCCCCTTCAACGTCTTGGCCTACGAAGCGGAAGCCCTTCTCTTCAAAGTGACTCTTGAGCTCAGGGTTGACCTGTGCACGGACGACAAGAAGTTACAAATACGCTTTGCGTTCCTCCCCCGAGACGGTTCACACCGAGAGGTCCACCTACCTCGAAGCGATGTCTGTGCCGTTCGTCCACATATTCTGCATCGCCGTATAGTTTCCCTGGAAGACAGAACCGCTGTCAGCACAGAGCACTCGCAACGTCGGGCCAGGAGGCAAACTCGCACGGTGGCTTTTCCTCACGTAATACGCTGCTGTTGGTCTTGAATATGGTCCGTCTCTTCCCTAGCCTCATGGTTCCGCCCATCTGCCCGGGGTTGTGCTCCGGCATGTCAATCACCTGCGCAGGTTCAACACGATGATCTCACTTCACGGGCATTGATTTGGGCCACATAAAAACTAGGTCATTACCGGTTAAAGAAAGAAAGAAGAATGTACCACTGGGTGCTTTGATTCTGGATCAAATTCAGTTGAGTTGGCGTCTAAGAGCAAAAAGAAAACATGCATGAAAAAAAAACGGCTTCTTTAACGTCTTTCTTCAGTCCTCGGGGGATCGTTAAATCAGCCAGAACACGCTGTGCGTTACCTGCCCAGCCGAGTGTGTTCCTGGCAAACTCGCACACTGCCAACTGCATTCCCAGACACACACCTGCGGAAACACAAGCACCAGTCAGGCGGCGTCTCGCTTTGATCCGACGGTCGGGGAATCAAAGCGCTTCTTCCCGCTGTCCGTTTACCCAGGAAAGGTTTTTTCTGCTTCCTGGCCCAGTTGATGGCATGAATCTTCCCTTCGGTTCCTCTCACACCGAAACCTCCCGGAACCAGGATGCCGCTGAGGACCGGAAGTGAAAGCAGTTGGACGAAACCGTGAATGTGAACGTCCGGGTGGGATTACTGCCCATGGACGGGCTCCAGGTACTCACTCAGCACTGCAGAGCTTCTGCCATGCCTCGTGGTACTTCACCGGCTCCTCCGTCAGCGTGCTGGGCTCCAGAGACGCCGAGTCTATGTACTGAGGAGAAGGGACTTGTAAACCACGGGGACAGTTATCGTTTCAATCACCATAATCATCTTCCATCATCATTTTGTTGTAGTGAAAATGATGTGTGATAAAGAGGCTGCACATAAATACATCCATTCATCTCTCCTAATGTTTTATTCGTCTTTATCCCTGTGGAAGACTTTCTAAGTCAAGCTCAGAAAAGATAAACCAGCCAACAGGCGGTTATCAGTGTAGAAAATTGATGTTTTTGGACACAGCGGAGTTACTCCAAAATATGTGCAACCAAAATCCAATTTTTTGTGGAAACCCGCCTGGACCTTAAAGTCCACCCCCTAAATCCAATTACCGTAGGATTGGGAAAACTTGGTTTTTTTCCCAACACGCGGTAAAAGTTTTTGCTCCTGCCGCCGTTCCACCCGGGAAAACCAGGGGTCAAGCGGCCTTTTCCAAAAAAAACATAAAGATTACGAGCGGTTGGGAATGGAACTGAGGGACAAGGGGGGGGGGGGGGGGGGGGGGGTTTCCATCGGTTGGGAGACTCACCTGTCGGACATCTCCTTCCATTTTGTCAGCATCTTCCTGGGCCGAGTCTCGATGGGCATGTTGAGTCTCCTGCTGAGGTAGCCCACCACGCCCTGCTGCTCCAGCAGCAGCGGCACTTTGTAGATGGACGACACGTCGTGCACACAGATGACCTGGGACCGGCCGGGGAGGGAGGGTCAGACAGTGGTCCAAAAAGACGGCGGGAATGACGTCTTTTGGCGCGACGTACCTGTTCGGGCTCGACGTGGCAGAACATGGAGATCTTCTCTTTGACCGAGTTCTCCAGAGCGGTGGAGCAGCGGCACATGATCTGTCGGCAAAGGCGGGAAACCAGAGACCGCGTCGGAGGGTTACAGATCCGTGCAAAGAGAGACGCATGTTAAAAAAAGGTTGGACTTGGACGTATTTTTAATTCGCCGCCAAGTAAATCCTACATTTATACGATTTATATGAGGGACAAAACCTCCGGCTGAACTGGTGCCGCGGAGCGCAGCGCCGATGACGACTCACCAGGTCGGGCGACAACCCCAGTCCCCTCAGCTCCCTGACGCTGTTCTGTGTTGGTTTGGTCTTTTGCTCTCCGGTCGCGCTGGGCTGGACAGAACGAGGGAGACGTCGCGACACACAAGTTAAATCCTCACATTCTCTGTTCGTGCTCGTCGGACTCAGTCGGATTCACCGACTGATTTGGCGTGTGATGACATTGGAGAGACACGTTCGTATCGTTATGGTGCATTACCAGAGATTGTGTCAATGTTAATAGTGGTTCCCCTTCTCTTTTGAGGCAGACTGTGCTTAAAGCCACTTGTCGTGGACGGGAGCTGCTCGCTCACCTGTGGTATCAGGCTGACGTGAATGTTGCAGAAGTTCTCCCTCTTCACTTTAAACTGGAACTGCCTGAAGGCCTCGACGAAAGGCATGCTCTCTATGTCGCCGACGGTGCCTCCCAACTGCAAACGAGCAAGAGAAGCATTCTCAGCCCAGCGGAGGAATCCGCGCAGAGACCATCGCTTGGCTGGCGCGCGTTCCGGCGTTATAACTCGTTAATGCTCGGCGTACCTCTATTACACAAACTTGCGGTTTGAGGCCGTCGTCATCCACCGGCACCGTGGCCTGTTTCACCACCCATTCCTGGATTGCGTCCGTGATGTGAGGCACCACTGGAGGAGAGGAAGAAAGACGATTATTTGTTAACGATTTCTCTCGTGCATGCCCCCCCCCCTCCACCAAGCTCGGGACAGCGTCTGTTTACCCTGCACAGTCTTTCCCAGGTAGTCTCCCCTCCTCTCTTTGTTGATGACCGACTGGTAGATTTTGCCGGTGGTTAAGTTGTTGTCTCTGGTCAGCCGGATGTCGAGGAAACGTTCGTAGTTCCCCAGGTCCAAGTCCACCTCGCCGCCGTCATCCAGAACAAACACCTCCCCTGGACAAAGTGACGCACGACACCATCGTGAAAAAAATTAAATAATAAGTAACGTGCACCCGTTTAACCCCGGAGCGATCACCTCCTCTGACGTACCGTGCTCGTAGGGCGAAAACGTGCCCGCGTCGATGTTGATGTACGGGTCGATCTTGATGGCGGTCACATGCAGGCCGCAGGACTTCAGGATCGTGCCCACGCTGCTCGCGATGATGCCTTTGCCGATGCCGGAGATGACTCCTCCAGTTACCAGGATGTACTTCATCATTGTGCCCTGGTTTCTGGAGATGGATGACAGATTAGTGGCGATCAAAGTAGGATGAGTAAATTCATTAAGTGGACCATGAGTGTAACACAAACAACATCCACGAGTGTATTTACTCACTGTAATTAAGGTGCACTTTTGAGTTGAGCATAACAATAGATATAACGCATATCAACGATCTATATCATAATAATATTTTAGAACAAAGCTAGAGAACATTTTGGTGAACAATAAAAACAATGGTTAAACCGCCATGTGTTTATTCAACAACGTGGTCCCAAACACCACGGTCTGTAAATACTGATACTCGTTTTCGATTTCCATTTCACAGCATCAAACCCGCCAACCCGGGATCGCAGTTAACGTGACTTAGGTACCAACTTTCACAATAAAAGCACAGCGACAAAACTGTGAAATACTATTGTCGACTTCATCCACTTTTTCGATCTCGAGACCACCGTGACAATGTAATCAGACACGATACTGAGTCGCTACCACGGCAGTTTATAGTTTTATTTTGATTGTTGTTATTGTGCTTGATATGCAACAGTGTCTGCTAACATTAGCTAACCGTATCACACTTCAACTCACCAAAATATTCTTCAGCCACAGCTTACTCTTCAAAGTGAATCTCAAACGACCAAAAACAGTCCACGAGACGTTTTGCCGAAAAATATTTTTTTCGCCCCTTTACAGCGACGCTTTTGTTCGTCCCCGCGCTGCGCTACAGTAGCATCTGTCCTAAGATTCACTCCACACGTGTTTGGACCACGACTCAGGGCCGCACTTACATCTCTCATCACGATTCACACGCCGGGGAGCAGGCTCTTGTGTGTCTTCTTCTGTGGGGGTTTTACGGCAGTCAGCCGCTGCAGGTGCTCTGCTGCCCCCTGCAGGAACCAGGCCAGTACCGCACCATCTCAAAATCAACGCGATTTAATGTTAACCATCAAAGCGGCCTACATTCTCTAGGTTTGGTGTTTTTAATCTTTTTTTTTTTAGGGTGTAAGGGACCCTTTAAAGGGTCGTTTGATGCATTCGACGAAAGTTGAATTCGAGGGTTTCAAGTTTAAAACCAACGAACTTACCATATGAAAATCACATCAATCACAGTTTCTAATGGCCCAACGGCGATGGGGTTGGGATAATGGACAAATGTTTGTTTTATGGGAGAGAACTGTCCACAAGAAAATGGAATAATTTTACAATTTATACTTTGTATAAAGGGCTTTGGAGTTATTTATTTTTCATTATTCATTATCTTTAGCTCAATTGTCTGGTGCCGTCATTAAACCCTTCTTTCATTGCTGTACTTAACATCTAAATTCTATACCATATTTGTGAGCAAGTAGTAGCATTAGTAGCAATACTACAAAACAATAATGAACTACAGGTGAAGGTCATGCATTCAAAATTTTACATGAGTAAAATGTAAGAAATGTGCAGAATTAAGTCCACATTAAAGTATCGAAAGTAATTGTACTCAAAATGCAGCGCTTTCAGATTGTCACATCATATCACTGGAATATTATTAGCACGTAGTAAATGGTTTGAGGTGAAGATATTTTAGCAACCTCATACACAAAGATCTCAAGAAATCTGCAAGGCGCGTGTTTTTTTTTTCCTGTGAATTTTTGAGCCTCATCCAAAGAACACCTCACTCTTTGATGATGTGTTTTTTATGTAAAAAATGTATAACTACTGCAATAAAAAAGTGTAGTACGGTAAAAGTTCTGTATTTAATTCAGAATTGCATTGAGTTAGCAGTATAGCATAACATAGATATGGTTAAAATGCAAGTTAAATGCAAGTACTGCAAAAACTCCACCACAGTACTGTACTTTACTGTGGCTTTCACAACAAAACCACGATGCTTCATCGCCTTTCATGAGCACATGAAGGCAGCGCTCGTTACGTCTTCCAGTCAGCAGGGGGAGCTCGTGCTTCACATTTCAGGGCTCATATTTGACCATAGAAAAAAAAAGAGTAGTATTTCTTAATGTGAGGCCTGTAGCCTGCTGTTCACAGATCACACAATGTATTTATCTCAAACTCTTAGCATGTTGGATTCAGAGGAGCATATAAACAATACACCACGAAATCAATTCATTCACATGTTTTATTTTCTTAATTGTAAGAGCAAACGGCCGTGTTTTGAGAATAGGGACACGCTTCAATGGCGTAACAACGCGGGTGTAACGGTGTATCAGCGTGACTCCCGCGATAATGCAAGCTGCTGCTCAGAAGCAGCAAAGCGCGGCTGAATTGATCCCGCAGTAGAAAACGCTTAAATGCTCAGAGATGTTCTCCTGTGGGCCTCACAACACACGTGTTCCTCTTTGCTCTGCCCGACACAAAACAACACTTTTCCGCTGCTCGGCTCCCTATAATAAACAACCACGGCCTAAAGTGGTTAGTTACAGTGCGCTGTGGAAAGGTCAATGATCTTGTGATGTGGATCGCAGTGTGTTATCCCCATTGTGCTCAGTGAGATGTGGAGTCCGCTCAGGCAGCACCGCTGACGCAAATTACGTCAAACTGTGACTGGTTCCATTTGAAACAACAAGGCGTCCACAGAGCTTACTGACGTTTGGCTCATCTGCGACCGGGTTCACTTGTGTGTGTGTGTGTGTGTGTGTGTGTGTGTGGGTGAGCACCAGCACTGCAGATCCAAAGAACAAAATGCTGGAGTTGGTGACTGATGGCTGACTCACAGACGGAAAGCTGCGAGGCTGAGTGATGCTTCCATGTAACACCCAAATATCTACTCGTGAGCCCGAGCAGCCAACTTAGTCCCTGGAACACACAGGGGGGAGTGGAGGGGGGGGGGCTTAATGAGGGTTTTAATTCATTTTTGACCAGGGCTGTGATTTAATTAAACTCCCACAGAAGGGCTGGACGCTCTCCTTACCACAAGTCATTTCCTCCCATTAGACAATGCGGCAGGTCAGTCCGAGATTAAACTCTTCTTCCTTCATTTCGTGCAAACGTAGATTCTTACCGGCAGCGTGAGTGTCCGCTTCCTGCTCTCCTTTGTACACCTCCAAAAGACATTGTTCAACATTTCGGGGGCGTATGCATATTTATTTTCTCTCTCGGGAAGAAGAGAAGATCGATGCCACTCCATAGATAGACGTCAATCTTCTCATCTCATTTCTTGTCAAAGAGGCGTTTTCCTCTAATGTTGAACTATGGGGGGCAGCAGAGACAAGTAGAGAATGCGACATTGAGAAGACTTCTTAATTAGAGATGCAAATCCGTCATCAGGTTGTCGCCACGTTGAGAGGCGAATGTGAAAATCTTTTCTTCTTGTTCTTTGGAGAACCGTGTAAATGTCGCATTGTGTGACGCGAGCGAGCGCCAGGTAGCCGAAGGCCGGGCGGCCGCTGTCTCCTTATCTTTGAACACAACATCGAGCTAATCAAAGTCACCAAAGGCTCTTACAGACAATCTTCATTCTCAACCAAGTGGTTCCTTTTGCGCCCGCCAGGGAAAGCGGCGCCCTGGAGGGATGTGGACCGCGCGCGCACGCTAGACCAGGTCAGACGGGTCAGCTTAGCAGCTATGCTAAACACGTCCCCGAGGCCAAGACATGACTTTGCACTGTTTGAGAGAGAGAGGGAAGCCATTCGAACGTCCTTCATAGGCCACATTAATTTTTTTCCAGGAAAGGTGACGCATGTGAAATGAAAAAAAGAATCTCCATTTCTGCACGAGTTTTATCCCACTCATCTAGCGTGGAAAATGCAGCTCTGTCTTACTGCAGCTTCCGTGATAATGTGGGGGGTTAAACAGCACGCTGGAGCTGTGAGTGGGGGGGGGGGGGGGGGGTAGATTACTTTGTTTTACGCCGTGGTGATAAAGTCTCTCTCTCTCTCTCTTTCTCACACTCTCTCCGTTAATACTAACGCACGCGCGGTTTGTCGGCGTGCTGAGCTGCTGTACTGTCACGCAGTTATATAACGCGCCTCTGACATAAACGAAGGCCCTCAGGTACGCACATCCCGCGCTTTCTTTTGTGGATTAATAATATATGAATGGCACATAATGCTTTTCTCTACACAGCTGAATAAAGTTCATCTCAAAGTTTACCTTAAAATAACAATATTCAATCCTTCATTTACACATTTGTGTTGCTGTCGAAAATGCTGTCATCTACAAAGGTGAACGTGACTATAACGAATGTTAAAATGTCTCCAGGAGAAAATGACGATGACAATGTTCCTGTAGCAAAGGTCACTAAATGAATGGTATTATAAATACTACTGGTAAATGCTTAAAGCTATAGAGCAAACTCCCATGAAATAAACAACTGAATATTGCCCCAATTTGTACCTGTAAAGGTCGTTCATTGAGTAGTAATGCCAAAGGTTAATCTACCAAAAAATCTACTGAAAAATGAAAAGCTTCCCCGAGCTCTTAAAGTGATGTCTGTTTGCTCTTCAGGGCTGAGTGTATGTTATGTAAATGTTTGTTCCGGCTCCACTGCCTCGGAAAGTAACCGTACAAAGGGAGAAAAGGGTTTTCCCTTCTCGCTCAGGCTGCGCGAGGACTGAATTAAAAAACGTCTTTTACATTTTGAAGTCTTCACGCTAATGACCGTCGAGGGCTTGAGGGACGCTCACCTCTCTTCTCGTGGGCGAATCCCTGAATAGATTTTCTCGCCCAATGTCGTTAAAATATTCCATAATAACGTTTTTGTTTTCATAGACTGATCCGACACGATGAGAATCTCCTATCTCCTGTTTTTGCTTTGAGCAGAGGAGATGATAATTGAGCCGTGCAGCCCAAAGAGCGCCCTCACACAAGCGAGCATGACTTGCATTTCGTTTGTTTCCCTACGTGTTTAACCTTTTTTACTGCTGCGGCCTCCGATCCAGACCTGCGTCGCCGGAATCCGAAGTCCGACGCGCTACGATCTCTGTGAGCAAGGTGCTTATTTGGCATCAAGAGTCTGACACAAGAACACTAATTTGAGGAATTGAAACCGATCTCGAAACCAAGACCGACGTCAAGGACAACCGTGTAAACAGTTGTAACACAGCGATACTCGGCAGGAAGTTGACAACCAAGCACAGACTGCACAGTGAAGAAGAGACTTGCATGGGACTTTATTGCAAGGGATGACTTTCACATTGTTCTGCAGTCCATTAGTCGTCATTTAAAGGGAATAGCAGGTGAAGGTACAAATATCAAGGTGTTTAGTTTCATGTTGCATTCATAGGTGCATCAGCTCAAACCCAAAGAAAATCATTTTTTCCAGGTTTTTGAAAAGAGAGTTCATGCCAAGTGACATCGCTTCTGGTTGCACCTGTGCACGGGGAGCCGTGGCGACGCCGCGTCGCCCAGCGACCCGCTTTGGCGACTTGGTGAGCAGAACATCCACCGCGATGACATCATGAACCACTTCATGGGCAGCAGTGCACCGAGAGGCGGCGAGGAGGCTGCATGTGCACAAATGCTTTCAGCTTCTGCTCTCTGTGGCAGAGATCAAAGCGACGTGGTGCCGCTTTGTATCACCTTCAAACCGTTTGCCAACTGCAACATGCAGGATTCGACTCGGCTTGATGTTTGCTGCCAAACTCAATGTCTCACGATGGTCTAACGGCGGCTTCTCAGGCTTTTGGACACTGATAAACGGGACGGATCATGTTTTAACGTGTCTTTTGAATAGCCAGTAGTCGTGAATTGCCAAGGAGAAATTATTTGAATGTCAATAAATGTGTCGTGTAATAGTAACATTGTTGGAAGAGAAGAAACCTGGGGAAGATGTTCCTCATACTCTAAATTGGTTTGGTAGACTCATTCTA